GCCATTCTAGGGGGACAAATTAATTAATTTATATACTAAGGGGGTAATTAATTATAATCTACCTGCCTAACACCTACTACCCGCCCTCAAAAAATAATATAAATGTACTGATCACAGTATAGGCAGCTGCAATCAGTGATCACTGACAGGGCCGGCACCAGAAATTTTGGGGCCCCTAACTCAGCTCAGGGTCTGGGCCCCCTGGGGCCTGCCTCCAATCCCGCCCACTCCTCCTTGGCTGAGTAGCGACATGCCATTCTAGGGTGACAAATTAATTAATTTATATACTAAGGGGGTAATTAATTATAATCTACCTGCCTAACACCTACTACCCTCCCTCAAAAAATAATATAAATGTACTGATCACAGTATAGGCAGCTGCAATCAGTGATCACTGACAGGGCCGGCACCAGAAATTTTGGGGCCCCTAACTCAGCTCAGGGTCTGGGCCCCTTGGGGCCTGCCTCCAATCCCGCCCACTCCTCCTTGGCTGAGTAGCGACATGCCATTCTAGGGGGACAAATTAATTAATTTATATACTAAGGGGGTAATTAATTATAATCTACCTGCCTAACACCTACTACCCGCCCTCAAAAAATAATATAAATATACTGATCACAGTATAGGCATCTGCAATCAGTGATCACTGACAGGGCCGCCACCAGAAATTTTGGGGCCCCTAACTCAGCTCAGCTCAGCAAGCCGTGGGGCCTGCCTCCAATCCCACCCACAGGGTCCGCCTCCAAATGCCGCCCACAGGAATACACACACACAGACACAAACACACACACTGATACAAAAGGACACAGATACACACACACAGATACATACTAACAGACACACATACTAAAACAACATACACACATATAGGCATACATACTGACACACACATACTGAGACATACACACATATACAGACACACAGGTATACATAGTGACAGACAGACACATACTAACATACATACAGACACACATGCATGAGGACATACAGACACATACATACATACACACTGACATACATACAGACACCAACATACATACACACATACATAAATACACACAGGCATACATACATAATGACATACAAACATACATACATTCATACTGGCATACATAAATATATACATACATACTGACAAACATACATACATACATTCATACTGACATACATACATGACAGACAGACATGCATGCATACAGACACACACACACATACAAAGCTCATTTCGCTGCGGCAATTTGCTGCTACACGTGGGGCCCGGGCCGCCGGGCCCCCCAGGGCCACCGGGCCCATGACAACCGTCATGGTTGTCACCACCCGATGGCAGCCCTGACTCTGATACAGTACTGTACAGCAGTCTGATCAGAGAGCCCTCTGATCACAGTGATCACTGATACAGTACTGTACAGCAGATATACTGTACAGTATAGTCATCGTGGCAGCGGGGAAAAGGTTAAGGGAGATTTTAGTTGCTGCGACTAACACAAAGGGTAAAAAAAAATGACCCACCCAAAAAAAATTAAATATAGTACAAAAGTACTAAATACCCTAATCAGGCTGATGACAGTAATATACTCAGCACTGAAAGGGTTAAATAAAATATATTTTTTAAAACTTTTAAAAATTTTTGAAACTTTCTTTTTCACAGGAGCTGCAAAAGCAACGATTTCTCTGCCTCTCTCTCAGATCGAAGTGAGGTGAAGAGAGTGGCAGAGACAATGTGTCAGCCAATGATTTCTGATCATTGGCTGACACATACTAACAGTGATCACAGTGACTGGCTCCTACAGATCGTGGTAATTGGCCACAGGGGGAGTGCCTAGGTGTTACAGCATCCGGCGCCGGCATCAGTACGCAGCGCGCGAGGGAGCTGAAGAGGAAGCACTCAGCCAGGGAGAGTGCTTCCTTGCGCACCGGGTGTCAGGGGGAGAGGAAGGAAATTTGAGGGAGGGGGAGGAAAGAAATTTAAGGGAGGG